CACCCACCAATTGCATACCACATACTTTTACACACTTTCAACAGAGCTACTTTACTTCTTACTCGCTCAATCTATCAACTGAGAAACGGATTTCAGATATGAGAAAAATGCGGAATTTTTAAAGGCCTATCAATCTTATAATACAATGATCTAGGACTGAGTGAATTTTTCCACAATGAAATGAGTTTGCCTCACGGTACCATTGAATTTCACCTTCCAAAAAGATATTTTTATCCTGGTTCGACCTCGCCTAAACCGGTCTTATCAGCACTCCCAACGGGAATCGAACTCGAGTTCTGGTAGGGCAGCTTATGATTACGACATGGTACCGCTAGCAGACACTGTCGGACGGCAGAATACAATTTGCAGACAAGCTAGGCGTCTTGTATATCATTCTTTTATCATCGAATTGTCGCTCAAACGAACATGTATTTGCAAGAAGTAGTGATCATTTTAAAATTTGCACTTACCCTAAATTGAGTGTATGCCAAATCAAGTCAACTAAAGCTCATACTCAATGTCTACTGACAGCCTCGAAATCCTACTCAAAACGAATACAAGTAATACTCACTCATTGTGAAAATATTCACCATAATTTTCTTTTAATCTTAAGCGACTTTAATATATCAAAGCTCTTAGTTACTATCTACTGATCGTTCATTGCGAATACTCTGGATTCAGGCCTTCCTTGCTCCTGCTCACGAAGATTAAGAATGAATTAAATAGCTTCTATGCAAGCTTGCAACTTTGACATGACAATAGCCAAAAGCCTCTGTGATTAAGTAACATGACAATTCGTTGTAGCCTGCTGGACGCTCATTTTACCCATTTTTTCTTAGACACGAGTGACTATTGAAAACATCTCATCCAAGATGTACCTATAAGGGTTCTATCTTTGAGGCTTTTGTAATGTGCCTCTAAAGGACGTTAAGGAATTCGGTTCTTAAACCGAAAAAGATTCACTCCAGCATTGCTCGCGAATTTGTGGGATTGTTTCGCAAGGCCTATTAGTCAGCGCATTTTCATAGTACGTTTGGTAAGGGTATGCATCGAGGCCATCTATAAGTCCGGACTACCTTCTTGATTCATCCTAGGTTGCTTGAAGTGATCTCAAAATTAAGCGACTTCTCACTATTTGATATATTCTCTTTATGCTTCTCTTTTATGAATTTTGACTTAATTCTTTATGTGCATAATTTTCATCTTGTTTGTTTATTAATTCAGAACTGACACCTCATCCTCTCTTGACGGAACTGCTGCCCTCGTTTGGAACTAAGCTACTCTCTGAGCCGGCCAATCAGGCTGACGCGATTCAGTTGAAAATGGAAAAATCGTCTCGTCCTTCCGTCGTGCCCCACTTGTCGAAACTAAGCGGTAGCCATGACTACGGCCCCAGCGACTCCGGTGTCTTCCGATTCAACCGACATCAGCATTGGGAGGTGCCGTCTTCTCGATTGAGCCAGACTCATCGTCATCTGACCTCCGGTGGTCCGTTCAGCCTGCTCTTCTGGATCAGATTTCAAGGAGGAGAAGGACAGAGTCGAGGATCCAGTGCAACTGTGGAGAGTCCGGATGATCCGCTAGACGCATCTTCCATTGGCCTGCGAATGAATAAGGCCATCGGTGGCACCGGACGACAGGCCATCGTTTGCAACTCGGACAACTCAGGTGGGCTAAGCAAGAAAATCATTTTTTGAAAACAATAAATTATGAAATGAACAAAGTTGTTTGAGTAATAGAATAAATATTGGCAGGTCACGATTGATAGAAGTACAAATATGGCGAAATTGGGCTTAGTAAGAATTGAAAATTGACACCAAGACGCATTTAATAGAAGCCAAGATTCAGTTAGTGGTCTTCAAGACTACAGACGCTCTTTAAGCAGATGTTGATGCCTGCCACACAATCTAGTTTTATATGCACAAAAAAGTGTATTAGAAATTATAATACATCCCTTTGATAAATTTGGAAAAAGGAAAGAATGCTAGAATGAATAAAGTAGATGAAAAAAGAAGCCATTTGTGATTGAATAGGAATAAGCATTTGATGTAATAAAAAGACAGAGACATTGTTATAGCAATTATAAAATGGGCAGACATGTTGGAATGCCTTAATCAACGGGATGGAATCTCTTAAGACATGCAGATGAAATTAAGGAAAGAGGTAACATAATGTGATTTTGAAGCCAGCAATGATAACTTTGCGGGAGAATGTAAAAGTAATGTTTTCCCCAACAATCAAGATAGCTTTATTGCAGCTCCTGTTGCAACATTTAAAGCATACTACTCGAGAAGAACCTTTGCACATGTGTTGGTTTTTAATACCTTTTGATCATCATTAGCTATTAAGAAAGGGGTAAAAAATGGCTATTATATTAAAATGTGATCAGGCTATTTCAATGAGATGGAACCAATTAGATGACTTTATATGTACGATTTTGAATAGCCCGTACCGTAGAATTTTGCATCATAGCAAACAGAAAAATGTCCTGATTTAAGCTACCAAAGTCATCCCAGGACAAATTTACAGGTTGCATGCATCCGATACATATTTTAGTTGAATAGTTCCGTTTTTCCTGTTGTCCTTTGTGGACACAATTGCGTAATGATAAGTGATCTGATTCAAAATCTTCATTTTTTCGTTATGCGAACGCTTCGGTATGGTCTGAAATACAGGCTTCGAATGAGAATACAGCAAGCCTAACTGGACTGTTAACTTTAGAAGAAAAGCCTGCTGGAAGCAATTCATTAGTTAACCTCATTGCACATGGAATATGGATCTTTGTGTTGTGGAGACTGTTGAATTGTGCGCAAAGTCCTCCGCTCCTCGTCCTGCATTCTCCATCCTTATTTGCTCATCTTTCTTTTTCGCCGCTTATTAAGTCATCTTCCTTGCCAAAAATCGTCATTTACGAAAGCAACACTAATATCCCAAGCCAAATACCAAAGAATCTTTCTCTGTTAACTGTATTGGTACTTACTATGTCTGTTCAAGTGGAACAGACGAAAGTTCAGTATGGATGGATTGAAGTATCATGACTTTGAACTGAGGGTCCCTTGCACTCTTCCGGTCCGGCCAATTCACAGAACTTTTCAAAACCAACTTTGCCCTAAAGATGAAAAGTTGGGGGACTATTCGAAACTCAGCTTTTTATAAATATCAATGTACTACAATAAAATCGGTTAAGGGATGCATGCTCCACTGTGTGAGAAAAGAATATTAAGTATTAAGACACGCTTCGAATCGTTGGTTAGATCTACAAAACTCAACCACCTTAATCTGTATATAAGCACATATCTATCTTATGCCACTGTCCTAAATGTGCCCATGTACATTGCTACAGGTGACCATATTACCAAATAAATTAGGTTTACAAAGTTAGCTTACACTTCCTTGTGGTAGAATTAA